GAATTTATATTCATATATTTTTATAAAATAAATTTGAAAGATATTTGATATATATTTTATATAAATATTCTATTTTTATTTTGTTTTAAATTTATATAAATAGTTTATTGAAATTTTATTTTATGATATATATTTTATACATTTTTTGAGAATTGCAATGAAATTTATATTTTCTTTCACTTTATATGTAGCGGATTGGACTTATTATATGTAGCGCCACCTTTGAGTAGGTTGCGAATCACATTATTAGTCAAAACAATCGCCGAATTCAGGATCTATTTTTAGACAGCACGCACTAAGCTACAATACTTTACCATTTTTCTTGTGCATCGAAAAAAAAGAAAAGATAATTTTGGTGTTTTGCTTAAGTGTCTTTCAATTTCGGGAAAGTTCAACGCCCTCAAGATAATTGTGACAAGAGAGCGACCGGCCATGTTTATATCGTGGTGAATTTTAAGCTAGCGGCCCGTAATCTACAAGTAATATTCCACGTGTACTTGTTCAATTCTCGTGTCGTGTACCGTACGTCCAGCACGGTGTCTAAGGCTTTTGCGAGATGGAATCTAGCGAAAGAGGTGAGTATATGTGCATATAAATAAAATCATGACAATATTGAGCCTCTGACACAAATCGCGACCTGGGGGCAATGGCAGTGTCAGGGTCGAAACGGAACTAGTTCAGTGACCGCATTCGCGGTATTTGACCGCGATATTAGCGATGAATTTCTTTTTGGAGTTATCTTCTATTCATCTTGAACTCTTTATGATTATAACATTTGTCTTTGGAATAGCCTTCCTGTGAAAATTACTCTTTCAGTCAAATCTATGTCATGTATCTGACTTTTGATCTTGACTGTACTTTTCTCTCTTGATTCAATTCTTACGCATATCATATAATATATAAAGATAGAAGTAATTTAAGATGGAAACATTACTTTTAATATTTATTGATAAATTTTTGGAATATTAATTTTTAAATGATCCTATATTTTTTGACAGTGTTCGATAAATAAAATTAAAAAATATTTGAATATTGAAAATTTTTATGTCTAATCTAATCTTATATCTAATGTAATTTAGCTCAAATTCAACTAAAACTTAACCTAACAAAAAAATATAATCTAGAACTCTAACCTAAACTTAAATTTTCTTACAAATATAACATTGAGATTATTATTTTGTAAATGTATTCATTTGTACTAAATCTATAATGTAACTTTTGAAACAAAAGTTATTTTTGAATTGCAAGTTTTTTTCATTTAAAACTGATATTTTTGAACATTATTTATCGAGAACTGTCAGAAAAATATAGGAACCAATCCAAAATTTGTTATTTCTTTGAAGTTTAGTCTTTTTTTTATTTATAAATAATCGATTATTAAAAGGGATGTTGCTTATATTTTATGTTTTTTTAATATTTTTCTTTGAGATAGCAAAGAAAGTCAGATAGCTACATTCAATATTACGCAATAATATAACATGTCTCTAACCTAGATAATCTCTCGTATGTATAGTGAATTGAAACCGCTTGACAGAGACACGTGAGAATTATTATCTCTCGACTGAGTCCGGCATGTGTTGCAATGTGGCGACACCTGTCGACTATTTGTGCACGTCCTACCTCAAGCTAGTGCGAATTAACCCTCTTTGTTTTTGTTGCCCTTCAACCCTTTTATAGATGAATAGAGTAATGTAACGAAATAAACTATTTTTCTATTTAATAATAATCAAGATCAAATCAAATTAATAAATCAAATTAATAATCAAATTAATAAATTAGATAAAATATTGTATCAAAAAAATAAATATTATATCAAAAAAATTAATTAAAAATTAATGTTTAGAGGAAAAGTTTGGAGAAAAATTCGATTAATTGTGCAATAAACTATAATTTGTTTTTTCACATGTTTTTTATTTATTCTATTATTAATATTTTGATAATAAACATTAATATTAAAAAATTGTTAAATATAAAATTGATATATATTTTGATTATAATATTAAAATATATATTATAATTAATTTTATTTTATTTTGTATATGTTTTTTAAATTCAAATGAAAAAGGTTATAAAATGCATTATTCAGTTGAATATTAATAAAAGTATATATATTATTTTTAAAGATAAACTTATACATACATATGCTATTTGAATTATATTTAATTCAAAAATAATTTTTCATCAAAGTTTTTATCAATATCTTTTTATTTTATTGAACTTTAATAAAATATTTTTGAAATGGATGATTAATAAAATATAATGATTGTAGAAGCATACACTCCACAACATACTTTGAATATTATTGGAGACATTATTTTTCTTTTTTTATCTATTCTTTTTTTTTTATCCATTTTTTTATTTCTTTTTTTAAAATCCTTTTCTTTCTTTGTTAGACTCTTGTTATATAAATTCAAGGACAAACATGATTGCACTCTCTTTCTTTATCTTTCTTTTTGTTTCTTAGTTGTTTCTTTCTACTTTATTTCTGTCCGTGCCGGTAACACCGCCTTCCTAACCTGTCTTTTGTTGTCTCTTCTTCTCTTTTTTTCTTTTTATTTTTCTAGTATGCAATCTCGTATTTTTTTTTTCTTTTCTTATATATTCTTCTTTTTTATTATATTGGATTGTATATGTTATGTATTCCTTTCTCATTGTGCTTTAATTTGCATTGCAATTGGATGCTGATCTTTCTTGGAACATACTTTTAAACATACTTAGTTGAATAATTTACGTTAATTTTAGTTGAATAATTTGAAAAAATGTATTCTAGTTAGTTTTTAAAGAGAGATTATGCTTTTTATTAGGATTATTAGGATTATTAGGATATTTAGGATTCTTTTTTGTTTAA